CTTTGACAAGCACTGTGGCAATTGGACAATTAAAACAGACATTCGGAAGGCGGGGAAGAAGAACAAACTGGGGAGGAGGGTGGAGAGAATGGTGCAGCAATGAAGGAATGAAAACCCAAAATCCCTGTAAAAATTCATTAAAACTAATAAAATTTAATAAAAAAAAAAGAAAACAAAAATCCTCACCACTAGATCAATAGGCAGCATCAGGATAGGTGATGAAAAGATTAAAGTTGTCAATGATCTCTTCCTGCTAGGATCCACAATCAACTCCCTTGATACTGGCAGTCAAGAAATCTAAACCACATGTTGCATTGAGAAACTATCCTGTCAAAGAACTCTTTAAAGTACTAAAGAGCAATGACATCAGTTTAAAGACTAAGGTGTACCTGATAAGGTGTGATATTTTAGTTGCTTTCTGTGCGTGTAGTCACTGAACAATAAAGAAGAAATACTGAGGAAAAAACATATGCCTTTAAATTTTTTGTTGGCAAAGAATATTAAATATATCATGGGCTGACAAATGCACAAACAAATCAGCTCTATAGGAAGTAAAACCAAAGTGCTACTTAGAAGCAAAGATCTGTTTTCCAGTGTTAACTTCTTGTTGTTTTGTTTCTGTTATGTACTGTAAAGTAGGAATCAACCCACAGCTGACCCTCTAGTGCGTTTTAAAAGGGTGTAAATCTCATGCGAATAGAGTGCTCATCTGGCTCCTGTGGAGAAACTAGTGGATCAGAACCATTTGGTATCTAATTGGCTGCACAGTTCCTTACCACTAGGACACCAGACTCCCTCGTGATAACTAGCTTAGGTGATTTGATTATATGAAACTTTCCACAAACTCAATGTGGTACATATTTAAAATTAATTTAGAGCATATGAATTTAGAGCATATTTCCTCATGTTGACAAATAGACTCCACCAATGAATTTTTAATAATAAGAGCTCAGTAAGCATTTTTTCTTGTAAAAGATAAACAGCAACAGAAAAGCACCATCAACGTACAGTTTTATGTGGAACCTGAAGGGTCCTCATGAACTGTCAAGTGGAGATGGACTCCCACCAGGTCAAGATGTGTTACTTGTTAAAAACCCAAGAAGTAAATAACCAATCGTGGTAACAAGTTTAAATTAGATCTTAAGTATTTAAAAGCAAGGACATCAAATGAAATTTTTCAAATTACCAAAGAGTTATAATCAATGGAGGGTTATGGAAAATATCTTTTCCTCAGAATTACTGACTGAGAATCTTGGAATAAGAAGCATCCTACAATGTGGTTAGTTTTCTCTATTCCTATTTGGGGAGGTTGTACTCACAGTTTCTCAGTCCAACGGTAGGCCTTCCAAACATTCTTATCAATGTAAGAAATATTATTGCCTTGGAGATTTCTGTAAAGACACATGGTTCATATTTTTAATACTCAGGATGAGGTATTAACCAAATAAATGTAAAGAATCATGAGATATTTATGGAGAATTTGGAAAAGCAAAATGTATCAGCTTCCTAATTTCCACAGCTGTGAGCTGCCAAACTGGCCCAGTTAATGAAGACAGCCTGTGAGGGGCAGAGACACAAATGATGAGGTCATCACCTCAGGACTTGAACTTCCTATCTGTCTGATTCCTTCTCTCTTATCAGACGCCAGGCAACAGCACAGTTTTGGACAAAGGTATCTACTGACATCTTTCCGAGTATAGAAGGACAAATTAGATATTCAAGGCACTAATGAACCAGGGTTGGAAGAATTCACAGATACATTACTTCATGAAAAAATGCAACTAACTGAGCAAGAAGATGTCACCTCATTAAAAAGGACGTACAGATCTGCTTGTATAAAAATTAAAGAGGAAGAAATTGGAAGGAGGGATATGTAGCTTACAGTGGTAACAGGAGTTACATGATCAGTGAGAAAAAGGAGGGTGAAAAGGCGAGGGTGGGACAAACATTCCCATTTCATCCCAAATACTTCTGCAGGGTTTTTCTTAAAACACTGTGGAGATGGATCCTCAAATGCCATGTGTTATCAATAATATGTTACACTATTGAGGGTCAGTGCCAGTCACTAACTCTGCATAAGGTTTTGATTCTTTGACTGACACAATGGGCTCTATTATGTCACTAAGTGTGAGGATGACCCAGGACAGGACAGGATTCAGATCTATTTTTCATAGGGTTACTATAGGTCATATTCAACTTGACAGAACATAACTGCCTTTCACTCCGTTCCCTTCCCTCAGCAATATCTTACCTATTCTGTTTAAAGCATCAAATAGGTGGCATTTGGAATGGAGTTAAAATACTTACTTTGCTGCTCACCTGCCTAGCAGATGTTTCTGTTCATTCAAGTCTTCACTTGTAAGATGCCTAAATTTCATCCTTCCTCCTCAAACAGCTCTCCTTCCTGACTTTTGAGTTTCCATCTGTGTTCTACCACCATCATTCCCCTAATCATCCAGGACACAGACTCTGGAGTCATGACTGGGTTCTCCTCGTTCCTGTACACTCCTTCCCCACCTCTCTAGTCAACACTATATCCTGTCCTCCTTTCCTTGTAGTGCTCCCAGGATTCTCCTGCTATTCCCATCCCAATCACTCTGCTTCAGCCCCTTTTCACTTTCCTCCTTCTAGTTTTTCCAGAACTTTCTTTTTGTTCTCCTCACATCTCCTCTTACATAACTTTACACATATATTCTAAAAGAACACTCCTGTTTGAATCAGTTCTTGCTTGCCTAAAAATGTTCCACAGCTCTTCATTTCTCATGGTGTAACTTGGAAACCTCTCTTGCTGGAATTTAAGGTCTTTTACAACTAACTTTCATTGTTTCCTAATACAATTCCTTGACACCAGACTCATCTACTAAATCTTTTCATTCCTACAGCCATGCCATTGCCCAGGGTCTTTTGTCTAGTCTTTATTTTAATTTAGCAACTCCTACTCATTTTGGGGGATCTCTGGTGTCTAACTGCTAACAATTGCACTGCCAACCTAAGTGAATGTGGTTGGAATCCACCAGCTGCTGTGAGGAAGAAAGATTGGCAATCTCCTCCTGTGCCATTTGCTGCCTCTGAACATCTAGAGAGTCAGCTATGAGTTGGTCTTGAATGTAGGGTACATAAAAAGATCACAACAACTCACTCTTTTAGGGAGCACTGATTGGCAAGTCCTTAACAAGCTACAGAGCTAACCCAAAGCCACACCTGTAAGATAGTTCAAATCTACCAGCAGCTCTAAGGGAGGAAGATGGGCAATCTCTTCTGTGCAATTTACCGGCACAGAAGTTGCATGGATGGTCAGCTATGAATCCATTCCAACTTGAAGGCAATGAGTGAGTGACTCATCCTTGGGATTAAAATTTTATTTTTTCTAGGCAACTTCCTCTGCTTTCTACCAGGTAGCCATTAGATTCTAGTGAACTACAATACACATACTCTGCACCTCTTTTAGAACATGATTATATATCACTTCCTTTTTCATAAATATTCCTTCTCTTCCTTTAATCTGACATGTTCCCAAGGTAATGCCTTACGCTTTTGAGACTTTTCCAGTGCCTAGTCCTGTTAGGCGCCTCTAACATGTGCCATTCATAGAAAGCCACAGATAAAGACCTAACAATGAATACATGGGTCTGGACATAATGAAGGATAAAAGAATAATAGTTACCATTCATGTAAATGCCTTATGCACTTGTTTAAATCACCCAACAATCCAATGACATGGTGATTCAATGTGGAAATTGTGGAGCTATGGAAATTGAATCATAAAGCTGAGTTCAAATCTAAGCACTTTACTCTAGAATCTCTCCTCTTAACCACTCTGTTGTATGATCTTCATTGAGACGAGAAAGGACCATAATCCCATAAAGAGGACAGAGCAAAACTGACAATGGAGCAGAAGTTAAGGCATGAAATTAAGATGCTTCAGGAAAATGGGCATGAACCACAGCCTCCATCAGCCTGAAAACAGAACATCCGGATGATGCCCAGCTACCACTTCTGACTGCTGTGACTGAGATCACAGTACGGGGTCGTGAATTGAGCAGGAGAAGAATGTAAAACAAAATTGTAAATGCTTTTGTAAAAAGATGAGATTCATCACTCTGATAGAAATGGTTTGTAATCCCAAAGTTTGACCCTTAGACACCCTTCAAACCTAAGGCTGAACTCATGTCAAACAACATACAGGCCCATAAAGTGAAAACACCATGAGGAATATTTTCCTTAGCACAATTAACCGTGCAAGACCAAAAAGGCATCATTTATCCCACAATACAATTCAGAAGGCAGGAAGGGGCAGGAGAGATGGGCAAATGGGAACAGGGAAGCCAGGGAGGAAGTGTGAAGAGTGTGGACACATGGAGAGGACTGCAGCTATTTGTCACAAACCTAAATGGGGAGTGATTATTGAATGGGATTCTAATTTGCTCTGTAACCTTTCCCTGAAATCATGGGGGGGGGGGCGGATAATAAGGACAATACAAGCAAGAAACTAGAGAACTGGAGACAAATAGTAAAAACAAGAATGAGGATCAGGAAACATTGACAAACATAAGGTAAAAACAGAAGTTGTTCAATGGGGGTTGAAAAAATGAGGAAGCCAGAAAGACCTTAAGAAAAAGGGCTGTCATGTCAGGAGAGCAGAGAACAAACAAGGAAAGGAATACTTACAAGACAGTGAAGGTGCTGTTGTACGTGTTGGGCTCTGGCACAGGCACTCTGCGGAGCTTCTTCTCTTTTGGAAGGCCAGTACAGGACAATGTGGCATTTTGGCAGACACAGAGATCACATATGTCAGCATTATTTCTGTTCTTGGCACTCTGTGTTGGTGGCCCACTTGGAGACATGTGCTCCTTCTCTGGGATGAAACTGAAAGTATGCTGAGTCACTGGTGAAGAAAGACCTGCCTCTGATGAGGCTGGGTGCTGAGTCACGACAAGTTCTGGACTCACAAGTTGAACTGTCACTTGCTTTGGAGGAGATGCAGTCTGTAAAGCTCTCGTTTCGGTAAACGACTTCAGTGTGCTTTGCTTTGTAGGAGATGCGGTTTCCTCCACGGCAAGGGAATGTGCAGTCTCTGATGTGAACTGAGGAGTTGTAGTAAGTGGCAGGTCTAGAAGACTAACTATGACATCAGGTAATTTTGATGTCTGACCTTGGTCCTGACCTGTAGAATCAACTGTCACCTGATTATAAACTGGAGATTGAGTTAAAATCTTCTCAGGGTGCTCTAGAGATAGAGTTGTTTGGTCTTGCTGGGTGGGAGAAGACTCAACCACCTGTGTTTTCGGTTCTGGAGCCAGAGTAAGTTCCAAAGTCCAAGGCTCAACAGTGACATCAGGCACGTTTGAATGGTGAGTTATTTCTTGACTTGGAGGTGGAACTGAGGCTGGGTGTTTTGTTGTCATATATTCTACCTTGACGGAAGGCTCTTGAGGGTGTGTTGTGAATTGAGCTTCTCCACCCTTAGGAGGCTCTGCAGTCTGAGCTGGAGTCTCTTGATTTTTAGAAGTTAGTCCAGTCTCTCTATTATCTACCTTAGATACAGAGATGTCTATATCTAATGTTACTTGGTTTGTAGGCGGAGCTATACTTTTCTGCAGGTTTGAAGAACGTACAGACCCAGTAGTATCCACAACTTTGTGAAAGGACTCTGGAGGCTGAGTTGGTGTCCCTTGTTTTTCAGGAGACAGTTGAATCTCAAGGTTGGTTTCAGATGGTACATTAATTTCCAGAGCCAATGGCTGAACAATAACCTTAGTCATTTTTAGCTGCTGACCCTGGACCTGGTCTGGATTTAGAGGCGTCTCCTCATGGTCCTCTGAAGGAGGTATGACTTTCTTCTGGGCTATAAAATCTTTAGTCATGATAGTGTATTCTATTGTTTCTGAAAGGCCCAGTTTCAAAGGATTTTCTGTAACACTGTTTGTGTTTAATTTTTTATCTTGAACCTGGTAAAAGGTCATCTTGAAAAATTCTGAAGAAGGCCCTGTAGTTTTCTGTGAAGTCACAGAAGGATATTCCATTTCGATAGTGTGATGCTGATTAGTGGGAATTTCATAATCTAAAGATTTAGTTGTAAACTTGTTCAAATTTGGGTTTTGAGCTTGCGACTGCTCTTCCTGGGAAATAGGTAGTTGAGGAAAAGCTGACGAAGGTACTGTAGGCTTTTGTGGGGCTGCAAGCGTTTGGCTCAAAGGCTCAGCTGTGGCAATGGGCACATTGAAATAGTGACGTGTTGGTGACACTATTACCTTATGAAGCAAAGGAGGCGGAGTTGGGTACTGAACTTCACTTGAAATGGTCACCCCAGTGTTTCCTGGAAGCTGGGTTACAACATGTTGAGGTGATTCTAAAGCCTTACCTGGATTGTTCTGAATAATTGAAGGTGCTTCGTTCTCAGGTAGCTCTGGACGCTGAGTTGAGGCTTCTTGGTTGTATGAAGGGAATGGGAGTGATTCAGTGTAATCTGCTGGTTCCATTGAATATGCATGTTGGGCTGCAGATGTTCGAATCTCTTTAAGAAATGCTTCAGGGTGAACTGAGGCCTCCTGCAAAGCTGCAGGTGCTTCAACCTCCTCAGTAGATGCTGGAGGTGGCAACGCGTTCTCCAACTGGAGTAGAGAATGTTCGCCCTCGGTAGGCCACTCTGATGACTGAGCCTGGGTGTCTTGCATGACTGTAAATGGCTCCCATTCCTCCATGAACTCTGGAGGCTCTGAGGTGTACTCATGTTGATCTGGTATAGGTTCAACTTCATCAAGAGGCTCTTGAAACTGAGTAGTGTTCTGCTGGTTTGTGGGAAATAGGGCCTCTTGCTCACTTAAAAAAGGATTAGCTTCTTTGTGAGGCATGGGAGGCAGTGCTGTGGTTTCTTCCGGCATTGAGTATTTGGTCCCTTCAGGGAACTCCAAGGGGGAACCTGGAACCTCCTGCTGGGTGCGAGAAGATGAGAGGATCTCAGGAGGCTTTGAAGATTTTTCCAGACCTGGAACAGGTTCAATCTCTTCAGAGGGCCTTGGGAATTGTGGTGGAGCCTTTTGATGAACCACATAAGGTTCAACTTCCTGCTCTGGAAGGGGAGCGAGGACCTCCTGCTCAACCGCAGGTTTAACCTCCTGGGCAGAATTTGATGGCTGTACTGGGGCTTCCTGCAGAGTTTGACCTGACTGAACCTCCTGAACTGGCTCCAGAGTTAAAGCAAACTCCTCAGATACTTGGTTATCTCTGCCAGGGTACAATGTCGATTGAAGAATTGGATTCTCCTGTGGAGTTTCCAATGTAGATGCCCTCAGTGGATGGAGACATAGAGTTTTATTTGGGCAAAGTTCACTCTCCTGAGATGCCTCTGGAGGGGGAGACAGGGCCTCTTTTTGGGGTGCAAATAGGTCCATCTGTTCACTCTGAGGGCTTACTGGAGGCAAACCTGAGGGCTCCAGATCGATGGGATACAGACTGGTAGGCAGAGCTTGCTCTTCCTCCCCTGGGGGTTCTGTGTTTTCCTCCAGAGGCTCTGGAGGCTTGTGTGTGCCCTGTAGCAGGTATGAGGGAACCTGCACCTGTGGATCATAATTATCTGGTGGTCTTCCAGGTCTCCTTGGAGGTTGCCCCTGAGATAAATCCTTGTTCCACTTCGGTCGTGGGAAAATAAAGTCAGCTGGTGTGGAACTCTGACTAGCAAGAGGTGGGAACGGGATTCTCAGTGACTGATGGGCCTCAGCCCGACTCAGGTCAGGAATTCCCACTTCATTTCTTAGTGGAACTTTCAGTTCCTGATGAGGCCTCAGCGGCGACGCTGACCCCAAATGTGCTCCAGGAATTTCAGGGACTCCCTGAGTCCTGGGTAACTTCCGGAGTCCTGTCCGGAACTCCCTGTTTTCAAAGGCCCCTGGCTTGGGCAGCGGCATCTGCCTTGGAGGCGAATGATAAGTGACCGGTCGCTGTAGAGGGATATGAGGTTGATGAAGGTCAGGAGATTGGACTAGGTCAGCGGGTTGATCAGGGGAATCAGGGGCACCAGGGTCATCAAGGTCATCAGGGCCATCGGAGTCATCAAGGTCAGCAGGGTCAGAAGTTAAAGGTGCGTCCAGGTCCAGGGCATCCGGGGTCTTGAGGTCCAGGTTCAGCGGTGCTGCGGGGAGGAGAAGCTGCGGGGTGAGGAGAAGGAGGGCACAAAGGTACAGCAGGGACATGGTAAGGAGGGCTCAAAGTAAAGGTGCCAATGGCGAAGGACGAACAGGCTGTGGCGAAGGTTCCAAGGAAGGGAATGAGGTGTGAGGGCAGCCGCGTGAGGTCTGGGTGCGCACCTCGGCAGCGGGGGCCCCGCGCGCTGCGCCCCCCTTTTATGCAGGAGGTCCCCTTTGTGAGTCAGTAACTTTATGTCGCTCTGAGTGTGAATTTCAGGGATGGCGGCGGGCTGGTTTTGGTCTGCTCCTGACTCACCAGGATGAACGTGACAGGGTGTCCATTCCCTTGCGAAGGGTCAGGACGTCACGCCCCCGCTCCACCCCACCTTCAGGGGCCCTCCCCTCCCCCAGCCCTCAGAGCTTCGCCCGCTGGCAGCACAGGCAGGACCGCTGGGCCCTTTCTGGAAACCAGAAGCTTCCTCCTCCTAAATTCCCCTCAGCCATGCTCCTTCCAACAAAAGTAACTGAATCATAAGCGCTATTTAGTGCAGCCAACAGGGCATGAACACACTTGAAACGTTATTTTACTACAAAAGGGTTCTTCTAAACTCGCATACGCTCGTTCTTGATAATCGTTTATTAACTCATTTCACTTACTAGGTGGGAGCATCACGAATCCAGGGTGACACAAGGCTTTCTGTAGAAGGGGCTCTGGCAGCGGGCAGTTTGGATTGAGAGAGGGTTTGAATGCAGCAGTTCACACTGGCAGCAGAACCCTGCCCCATCCCACCCTGATTCAACAGCTATTAATCTAAAAAGCCACTGCCCTGCTTTTCAATGATCCACCTTTGAGAACATGTTGTAGTCACATGTTAAAGGCGGCTTTTAAAAGAATTATTGAAATGCCATTACAACCCGTTTGTTTTCTTTATGCTTTTATTTTCTAGCACAACGTCTAGCATGTAAATTTTATGCAGGGCTTCACCAGGGCCTTTGCATATCTGTTCAATTCTCTAGGGTCATCATGAGGCCAAATCGGTCCCATGGCAGTGTGGAGCACGGTGTGGCTCATGGCTTTAGCGTGGAGTTGATCCCGAGGCTGCTTCCACCACGACAGGCCTTTTGCTTAATCATCCTGTTGAAACCATTAACCCAGTTTTGACTCTTCTATTCAAAAGGAAGCTAGACTTAAGGTCCAATCTTGGATAAACTCAACTTTCTTTTTCTGCAACAAGCATTTCATGCCCTATTTGCATCTGGCAAGCACGGTTGTGTCTTTAGAGAAGCATACTGCCACATTCTTTTCCTATGGAGTCACTGGTTGGTTGGCACTGAGGCTTTCTTATTAGCTGAGTGCTTAATCATCCAGTCTCAGAGTTCCTTTTTATTGACTTGGTAAGACCCTCAACAAGGTGGATTGACACAGTGTCTGTAATAACGGGCTCGAGCATAGCAGGGATCTTGAGGATGTGGCAGGATCAGGCACAGTTCTGCTTTTCACAGGGTCACTATCAACCAGAGTCTAATTGATGGCACCTAACAACCACCCTCTCTATATGTCCACCTTACTAAAAATAACAATTAAATACCCCTGCTGCATAACAGCCCTGGGAAACTCTCTAAGGCAATCCTTTAGTAACGACTCTGGAGAACCTGAGTCATCACTTTCATTACTTTCAAATGTTCTGCATTTATCAGAACCAGACACCTGGCACCACATCTAGTTTTCCTCCCTCCCCACTATGATCAGCCCCAGCCCAAGACAGCATGACATTGAGCAGTCTTTCACTGGGGAAGATGGGGAAAGAGAAATGGTTACCATGGGCCATTGTCCTAAAATACACTCTCAACCCACATCACATGTGTCTGAAATTCCCTGGAGATTTTGCCATTGTTTCTTTAATTTTTTGTGTTTTTACTGGAAGTTTACAGAAAACTTGGATTTCCATTCACTCAAGCCAACAATGGCTCTTTGGTTCGCTTTTGAAAGAGCAAGGGCTTATGGAAAGCCAACAACTAAAGACAAGCAGCAAGGGCCAGTTTGATTCTTGTCCCTGTGACAGGGGGCACGGTACTTAGAATTACCAGAAGAATGAAAAAAATCTATCTTGGAAGAAGTATGCCCAGAACAAGGATGGGAGACTCTGACCATGTTATCTGCAGTGGGCATCCCTGGAGAAGAGGCTACGTAGAGAGCCAGTGAAAGAGAGACTAGCCTTTCTGATGAAGTGACTGCAACAAAATGAAGCCGAACATGGTTGTGAGGATGGTGCAGGACTAGGCAATGTTTCCTTCTGTCATCCGTAGGGTTGCCATGAGTTGCTATCAATTCAGTAGCACCTAACAAGAACAAGGGACTTTGTGGACCAGTGTAGCTACTGCTGGTGACTCTCACTGTTCTCAAGTTCAAGTGGATCCCTGGCTATTTTTGCCTTTAGAAAGTTTTGCTGCTAGTGTGTTTCAAGTTATAAGAGTATTTCTAGTTTTAAATGGCCAAAGGGCACTAACTTCTTCGGGGTTTAACCTTGCATTCATTTTTCTTCTGATGTGCCCTGTGGATGCAGTGGGCACAGGATTGTCAGGTATATCCCAGTACAGATTCCAGCTCAAAGAGGCATAGCCTTTTCATAGCTTATCAGTCAAAAACATAATATGCATTTACTTTTAGGATGTCATTCTGTATTACATATGGAATCCTCTGGAGAGAATGAAGGAACCACCTAAATTTATTCTATAATATTCCATGAGTCATTACTAAGGACAGAGCTTACACTAGGTATTGAGGTAAGGAGGGGCTGAGTAAAGACAAAGCAGATGAGATTCTCCCTTCTTCCCCCTGCTCACAACCATTCTACTAGGCATCAGGGGAAGAGATATGGTTCTTGTCTTATTAGGGTTCCAGACCTAATAATAGAGAGCAGTGGTTTACATTAATGGGCATTACCTGTCACTGTGCTCCATTTTAAGGAAACTCCTAGAAGAGCAGAATCAACTTGTATACCCACCAGACTCTGGGTTGATGACATAATATTAGCCACTAGTACATAATTTCATACAATGATTTTTTTCCATTGCACATAACTTTTTTTTTTTGGTCGTTTCTTTCTTTTTTTTTTCTATAATTATATTTTATTAATTTTCATAAACATTTACAGAGATTTTGGGCTTCCACTCATTCATTGTTGCACTATTCTCTCTACCCTCCTCCCAGTTTGTTCTTGTCCAAATGCCACAGTGCTTGTCAAAGCCAGTTCTGATTAATCTTCTTTGTCAGTGTGTCCTTTGCCATTCCCTATCACTCCTCCCTGAGAGAGACTTCACCCTGAGTCATAAGGAAAAGGGGATGGCATATTCTCTTAGCTACTTCCTGCTGAAAAGGGACGCGGTGGGTTTCAGGGTGAACACCACACTCTACAAATGGCAATTTTACAATGGACCTCACCTGACTGGACTACACAGAAATTGGATTGCTTAAACATGTGGAAAGAATCTTTGGAGAAGCTCAAGATCAACTGTAAATATCAGGTGCTAACTATGGTACAGACGATCAACTATTCATGTCCAAGTTCACACTGAAGTTAAAGAAAATGAAAACAGAGCCTTAAGAATGAACATTTGGCCTTGAGTCTATTCCACCTAAATTTCAAAACTAGGAACAGGATTAAAGCCTTGAACACTAATGAATGAAGAGCAGATGAGCTTTGGAAGGATATCAAGAATATCACCCATGAAAAATGTGAAAGGTCATTACAGAGACAGAGGAGGAAGAAAAGACTGAGATGGATTTCAGAAGAGACTCTGAATATTACACTACAATGTTAAGAAGACAAGCAACGGAAAGAAATCAGGAAGTTATGGAGTTCATCAGAAGATTTCAAGGGGCAGGTTGGGAAGACAGAGCAAAGTATTATAATGCAAAGTGGGAAGAGCTAGAGTCAGAAAATCAAAAGGGATGAACTCACTCAATATTTTAAAGCTGGGAACAAAATCAAGCCTCAAGTTGCAATCCTTTAAGGATGCTATTGGCAGAATGTTGAATGATCCAGGAAAGAAGACGCAAGGAGTATATGGAGCCACTGTACCAAAAAGGATTGGCTGACACACAATTTCATGAAACAACATATGATCAAGAGGCAATGGTTTCATGAAACAACATATGATCAAGAAGCAATGGTCGTAAAGGAGGAAGTTCAGGCTACTCTGAAGGAATTGAGCAAAAATAGCAATTGACATATTCTAACAAACAAGAGCAGCCCTAGGACCTGCTCACCAAGTTTACCATGAAATCTGGAGTCAGCTGCCTGACTGGAAGTGACCCATATTCATTCACATTCCAAAAAAAGGTGATCCAACAGGGTGTGGAGATTATTTAACACAATCACTAATATCACACACAAGCAAAATCCTGCTGAAGAGTTAAAATAAAAAAGACTGGAACAGTATAATAACAAAGAACTGCCAGAAATACACGCTGAGTTTAGAAGAGGTCGAGGCACTAGGGACATAAATGCCAATGACATCTAGACACAGGATGAATGTAAAAAGTACCAAAGAGTGTCTATTTGTGTTCTTTTGACTATACACAGGCATTTGATTGTGGGGATCACCATGAATTGCGGCTAATATTGAGAAGAATGGGAATCCCAGAACACTTGATTGTGCTCATACATAATCTATACTTGGACCAGGAATCAATCAGCAGAATAGAGCAAGGAAGCATTTCGTGGTTTAAAATCAAGAAAGGTATGTGTCCAGATGTGTCTTTACTCTGTATCTTTTCAATCTATATGTTCAACAGATCATTTAGGAGGCTGGACTTTATGAGGAGGAATGTGGCATCAAGATTGGAAGAAGAATCATCAACAGTGTGCGTTATGCAGATGACACAACCTTCATTGCTGAAGGTGAAGTGGTTATGAAATGCTTTCTGCAGAAGATCAAGTACTACAGCCTTAATTATGGATTACATCTCAACATCAAGAAAACAAAGGTCCTCACTACAGGAGCAGTAGTCAACATTATGATAGATGGAGAATGGATTCAAGCTTTTAATGATATTTTTCTTGCTTTGATCAAAAATCATCACCCTTAGTACTAGAGACCTACTGCACTTGGCAAGTCTGTTGCCCAATATCTCTTCAAAATGCTAAAGAGCATTGATGCCACTTGGATGTATACTGTGTACCTGATTCAGGCCATGGTCTTCTCAACCACTTGCTATGCATCAAAGAGCTAGACAATGAATAAGGATGACAGAAGAATAATTGAAGTCATTGTGTTTCATTGGTTTAACACTCATTAAGTCTTCTACAGTCACAGCAGATTCTGTAGAGAAAGGCTTCCTGTGAACAGTGCTTTCAGTCATGGTCTCAGCACAGTGTTTCCTCCAGATGTTTCTGAATGAACAATTCTGGAGGAAGATTTTCTGGAGAACTAAGATCTCCTGAAACGGAAAAATTCTCCTGTGGAGTGGAAATTATAAGGCTCTTCAGTGCAGAGGAAGGAGGTCTACTTCTAATTATCAGCTTCTGGAGGGAACCCGTCTTTCTGAACTTTCGCTTCATTTCAGCTTTGACCTTCTGTGGATCAGAAGAGAGCGAGATTTATGGAAGATGTATTTGTTAGGAGAATGTACTGGTGACTGCAGCTTCATATTTCTACCTCTTGCATTTGCATCTTTTAAAACGTAAGTGGGGTTGGCCAAGTCTTTTTCATGGTTAATGACCTTAGCTGGAGCTTTGGAAGGAGGAAAGGTGGAAAGCCTGCTCATTCCATATTATTTCAGGGAAGAAGAGACTGCTGCCTTATGTTCCTTGATGAATGAAGGCTCCGTGTTGAAGGCAATCCCCACTATCTGCTTTGGATCCTGTACCTTGTGCAGTTCACATTAGACAGCTCACTGGGGTCTGGTCTCCTGGGCCTTCTTGATTTGGGGTGCTCTCCATTAACAGCCTTCAGGACAGGAGCAGTTCTCAGAACTAGTCCTAGTAGAACTCTGACTGAAATCAGTGAATAAAAAAAAATACATTCTTCGGTTAAAATTTTATTGTGAATCAGTTGAACCTCACTGCAGTACGGGATGTTTTGCAGACATTCACTGTTGCAGTGCATCTTGAGTGTTTTACACACAATTTCAATGGTGGTTTAAAATGACAAAGCCAGCAGGATAGATGCCTAGGTAATATCCTAGAAAGGGAAAGAAAGAGAATGAAACTAATGGTAAAAGGGTAACTTAGCTAAGTAGAACCATGTGCCTTTAGGTTGGCAGCCCAACTCCTTACATCTAAGCCAACAGAGCTCCCTAAGCTACGGCACACTACACAACAATTGAAATGAATGAGATATTGGAAGCCATAGCTCCATACACACATCCGAAAAGGATTATGCTGAGTGAAAGGAGCTAAAATGAAAAGCCTGCATACAATAGATTTCATTTCTAAGAAATTCTGGAAAAGGCAAACAAATAGGAATAGAAATCAAATAAGTGGTTGTCTGGTAGCCTAGTGGTAAGAATCTGTGCTGCAATCCCAAAGGCATATGGTTCCAGCTGCTCTGCTGGAGAAGAATGGACAATCTACTACGTGATTACTGCCTCTGAAAACCTACTGTTGTTGTTGTTGTTATGTGTCATTGAGTCGTTGGACTCATAGCGACCCTATGTTCAACAGCCCTAAACCCTGCTCTATCCTGTGCCTGTTGCACTGCCTCTGACACATCCATCCCAATTACCCCAGTCATTGAATCAAACCACCTTGTCCCTCCTTACAACATGCCCAGAGTATGTTAGAAGAAGCCTCAGAATCCATCCCTCCAAGGAACAGCCTGGTGTAACCCTCTCTAGGATGAATCTGTTTCTTTTCTTGGCAGTCTGTGGTACATTCAATATTCTTCTCCAGGACCACAACTCAAAGGAATCAATTCTTCTTCCTAGTCATTGTCCAACTCTCTGATATATAACAAGTGATTGCAAAGACTATGGCCTGTATCAGAAGCACCTTGGTCTCCAGAATGACAGCATTGCTCTTCAATACCCTGGAGAGGTCCCTAACAGCAGACCTCCTAACTAGCAGAAAACCTACGAGAGAGTCAAATCCAACCCTTGGTTATGGACCCTTCAGACAACACTTAAGTTTCAGGGGAGAGGAGCAGACAGCATTGCCCTTAATGGCAATTCCTGCCCCAAAATGTCTACACTAATCCCATTCCTACTCCACAACAGCTGCTCAGCCCCCTAAGGTCCTTTGACACGACCACTGGCTCCCTGGGCCAGAGGCGAGGCCTCAGAGTGGAGCCAAAGTTATGGCGGCAAGGGCTACAGCAGTTTCTGGTAAAGGCTCAGAGGCTGCAGTGGTCCAGAGTGATCCTGGTTCCTCTTCCCTTTTCTTTTGTTGAATCAGGACTTGAGGGTGAGGAGAACCCTCTCCAGTCCAGTGCGGAGCTGCAGCACAACCTCCAAAGCCCTTTGAGGAAGGTGAACCCACTCCATTCCAGCAAGAATGTGCAATATCTGCTTCAGAGCACCCTGGGGGAGGCTGGACACCCTTCAGTCCAGGAAGAGGCTGCAGATTTCCCCCTAGAGGTCCCTAAGGGGACAGAATCACCAGTCCAACCAGAAACCCTAGCATTGCCTCCCAGGCCTCCCCATAGGTGAAACCTTTTACAAGCCAGCAGGTGCCCCCCTTCCCCTCTGGCTACAAAGCCCAATGATGAAGCTGAACCTTCCCCAGTACATCTGGGAGGCACAAATCAGCCTACAAAGCTCCCTGAGGAGATGGAGCCCTCTCTAGACAAGCAGGAGGCTCCTTGTCAACATCTAGTGCCTCCTACAGTGGTTACAACTCAAAACACCACAAAGCATGAGGTGTCACATCCTGGGCAGAATCAACTGCATCCTTCAAATCTGCCCACTGTCACAGTTAAACCTGCTGATATGCAGCTTATCCTAACTCCAGAACCCACTACAGAGGTTCAGAGTTTTCCAACTCAACATAAGGGCCCAGCTCACCCTCCAGAGACTTCTGAAGAGGTGAAGCCTCCAACACAGCAAGAGGACTTGAGTAAACTGTCAGAGCTCCTTGAGGACAATGAACCATCTCCATTCCAAGTAGAGGTTCCTGTACATCACCCAGAGTAACCAAATGTGGTTTAACTCTACCTTCATTGCATGATGGAGTGAAAATCCAACCTCAAGGCCATCCTCAAGTTCATTTCATCTTGCCAAAGATATCTGTTCAATCTGTGATTTGGCATACATCAACACAGCAGGAAGCCTCAGTGCAGCCTCCAGAATCTTCTAAAATAATTAAATCTATTCCAACTGAGGAGTAAAGCCTGACTGAAACTCCAGATCCACCTAAGATGTTCACGTTTCATTCATTCCTGCAGGACAACTCACTTCAACCTCTAGACCTAGATTCTCCTGAAGATTCTTAATCTTCTATCATTGTATAGAAGGATCTGTGCCTTATACTTACTTATACTTACAGAGAGTAATAAGGAAGGGGGAACTTCTACTCCCTGACAAGACTCAGCTTGGCTTCCAAGTGTCAGTGAAGACGTTGAGCATTCAGTGCACATGGATGACCCAGCACAGCTATCACACCCCATTAAGTAGTGTGAACAGCCTCCAACACAGCTGGAGGACCAAATTCATCCTTCAGACCTCTATGAGAATGTCTCTCCAGTCCTGCAAGAGAATCTGGTTCAAACTCCAAATCGCCCTAAATAGGTAGTAACTTCACAAGCAACTGGGTATCAGGACATTATTCAGCTTTTGATCCCTCTACCCAGGTAGAACCTTCCCCAACACAGCTAGAGGTCCCACGTCAAAGGACACAAACCTTCTCCAGAAGTTGAACCTTCTCCAGCTCACCTGTAGTCGCCAATTCTGTCACCTAAACCCCCTGGACAGCCTGAACCTCTAAATCAGCAGGAAGTCCAATTTCAGAATCCAGAGGCCCTCCTCCTCCCAAGAGACTGAATCTTCTCTACTCCAGCAAGGAGGCCCAATTCAGGCTCTGAGCCTTCTGAGCAAGTAGAACCTCTTCCACATCAGGAAGGGGCCCCAGCTCAGCCTCCACATTCCCCTCAGGAGATTGAACCTTCTCCAGCTCAGCAGCGTGTCCCAATTAGTCTGCTGAACCTCCTGCACAGGCAGAACCTTCTCCAACAGAGCAAGAGGTCCCAGCTCAGAATCCACAGGCACCCCAGGATATGGAACCTTCTCTACCTCAGCAGGGGAGCCCAATTCAGGCTCCTGAGCCCCCTCTGCAGGTAGAATTTTCTCCAAACCAACAAGAGATCCCAACTCAACCTGACAACCCTGTCCAGAGGTTGTACCTTGTCCAGCTTCGGTAGAGGCCCCATCTCAGCCTCCGGAGCCTCCAAAAATATTTGAACCTTTCCCAATTCAGCAGGGAGTCCCAATTCAGTCTCCTGACACCCCTGTAAATGCAGAACTTTATCCAACTCAGCAAGAAGTCCACTTAAGAATCCCCAGGCCCCCCACGAGGCTGAATCTTCTTACCTCAGTAGAGGAGCCCAATTCAGGCTTTTGAGGCCCCTGTGCATATAAACCCTTCTCCCACTCAACAAGAAGTCCCACCTCAACCTCCTAAACCAGAAGTGCTCTTCTCAATAGTCCAGCAGGAGGCTCATGTTCCAAGTCAGGAAGCCCTGGGAATATTCAACCATTTTCACAGCAGGTGGAGTTCCTACCTACACCTTCAGTGCCTCCAAAGGAGATAGAGCCTTCCTCAGTTCAAGAGATGGCCACACCTCTACCTTCAGAGCTCTTTGAGAATGTGCATACATCTCCCGTCCAAGCAGATAGCCTCTGCCCCATCTCTATAAAACTCCCTAACCTTACAGCCTCTTCTCCACCATGTCCAGACGTCCTACCTCAGACTCCAGAGCCTTCCAAGGAGAATAAACCTTTAGCAGTACAGCAGGGGACCCCCCTTGCTAACTGGGTGACCCTCTCCATGTATCCGCACTCTTCACACTTCCTCCCTGGCTTCCCTGTTTCCATTTGCTCATCTTTCCTGCCCCTTCCTGCCATATGAATTGTATTGTGGGATAAGTGATGCCTTTTTGGTCTTGCGCCGTAAACTGTGATTTGAAATACATTCCCTATGGTGATTTCTCTTTTTAGGTCTGTGCGTTGTTTGACTGAAATGAGTTCAGCCTCAGTTTTGAAGGGTGTCTCAGGGTCATTCCTGGGAATTACAATAATTTCTAACAGACCAATAAAGCTAGTCTTTTTACAAAATTATTTACAACCTTGTTCTACATTTTTCTTCTGCTCAGTTAACAACCCTGTATTGTGATCTTAATCACAGCAGTCAGAGGTGGTAGCTGGGAACCATCTGCTTATTCTGGTTTCAGGCTGATGGAAATAGAAAATGATGCCTATTTTTCTTAAGTGTCTTCATTTCATGCCCTTACCTCTCACTTTTGTTCTCTCATCTTTACACGATCCTGTTCTTTTTCCATCTCACTGAAGATGATACAAAAGGGGTTAAGAGGAGTCATTCTAGAACCAAACTACTTAGAGTTGAACTCAGCTCCATGATTCTATCTCCACATCTCTAAAAGTATCCTCTCATAGGATACTTGGGAGACTGAAACAAGTTCATAAGGCACATATGTGAATATCACTATTACCCTTTTTATCCTCCAGTTATGTCTGGAACTTTTATGTCCACCCACATTTTTGGTCCTGGCTTTTTATGAACAGTACCTATTATATGCCCAAAAGTGGGCGAGGTACTGTAGGAGTCACAAAAGTGTAAGATATTACTTTGGGAACATAACTGGTAGATGTGAGATAAGAAATATGCATGAAAAAGGAAGTGGTAATGTAATCATGTTCAAAAGAGATGCAAAGTACATGGAATTCAATAAAATCTGTAATGAGCAGTATGCAGAAATCAGAGAAAGCTAAGTGGACAAAATAAAGCCACAACCTATAGAGAGTGACTCACTCACTGCTTTGAAGTGACTCACCTCTTTGAAGTCCTGATTGACTCATAGCTGACATTCCATGGGACTTCTATGACTATAAACGCACGGAAAGAGATCAGCCAGCTTTCTCCCTCAAAGCGTTGGGTAGATTGAAACTATGAGAAATGTGTGACCTTTCGGTTAGCAGCGCAACTCTTTAATGACTTGGCCGTCAGTGCTCCTTAGAAGAGCGATGAGTTGTTGTGTTGTTATCTCAAACCCTCCAGTGAGGACCAATTTGTAGCTGACTCTCTAGCAAGTTTTCAGAGGTGCAAATAGTACATGAAGAGATGGCCTATCTTTCTCCCTCAGAGCAGTTAAGGGATTTGAACCACACGGCTCTGGGTTGACAGTGTGACTCCTTACCAGTAAGCCACCAGATGTCCCAAAACACTGACTAGGGTTTTCTTAATAGAGAAAATAGATGAGCCCAGGAAAAGGCATGGCTGTAGGAATGGTAAGATTTAGTAGATCAATCTGGCTTCAAGGAAATGGGATAGGAAACAAAGAAAGAAAGTTGTAAAAAACCTTAAAATCCAGCAATAGAGGTTTTCAAGTTACGCCAAGAGATAGGAAGAGCCTTTTAATATTTTTAAGCAAGAAAGAGGAATGATTCAAACAAAAGGATTCTTTTAGATTCCACGTGTAATGCCATCTAAGAGGAAAGCTTGATTTGGGAGACCAAATAGAAAGCTCTCGCAAAACTAGGTGGAAGAAAGTGAAAAGGGGCTGAGGCAGAGTAGCAGAGTGGTTAGGATGGGAATAGCAGGAGAATCCTGGGAGAACTTCATGGAAAGGAGGACAGGACGTGATGCTGACTAGAGAGTTGGGGAAGGAGTGTGCAGGAACGAGGAGAACCCAGTCATGACTCCAGAGTGTGTGTCCTGGATGATTAGGAAAATGATGGTGGTAGAGCACACAGAGGGAAACTCAACAGTCAGGAAGGAGAGTGGTTTGAGGAGGGTAGATTAAGTTAATCATCTTGTATTGCTGAGCATAAAATAACTGTAAGACATGATTGAGTAGAAACATTATCTAGGCAGGTGGGCAGGCAAATGCCACCTATTTGACAATATAAACGGAACAGGTAAGATGATGATGGGGAAGGAGTAGAGTTAAAGATAGTTATGGTGTTAGGTGCTGTCAGGTTGAGTAGGACTCATAGAAACCCTCCTCCTAAACTACAATCTTAGACTGTTTCATCAACCCTCACCACCACTCACAAGAATTTTCATTCATCTGGAAGACAACAGCACAGCACCATGGTGCATTTGACCTTTTTGCATTCAGAAGCTCTTAGTTTCCTTGAGGGAGAAATATTAGATATGGAATGAAAAGAAGCCAAGTGGACCTCTGAGAAAAGTTGCTTATTCCCTTCTATAGTGTAGGACTTCAAATAATGATTGTCCAGAGATCCTATTATGCCAAAGGCTTCTTGAAACTTCCACACAGGGATGAAACATGGCAAATTAAACATCCCTTCACCAACTGGATGCTGTTGTTGCTGTTATATGCCATCAAGTTGAGTACAGCCCTTGGAGAATCATATGAACAGTGCATTTGGACCCTGCCTGCCCTATTCTGCGCCATCCTCATGAGCTCAGGCATACTTCAGCCCATTGCTGCAGTTCCTGAGTCAACTGATCTTGTTGAGGGTCTTCCTTTCCGTTGTTGAACCCTCCACGTTTCCAAGCATGATACTGCTTCCCAAGGACCAGCAGCCCTTTCTAACAACAGGAACAAAGTAGATAAGATGCTTCTCCAAAGGGGATTGTGGGTTGTGTGGAGACTGTGTAACAATGAATGATTATTTTTCCTTTCTTTTCAAAGAGAAAAGCAAACTAGGGGGAGGGAGGAATGGGCAGGGAGGAAAATGTGCAAAAATGTATCAATGGAAATCCAAAGTCTCTGTAAACTTTCATTAAAATTTCAATTAAAAACATCCAAAACACCCAAAACCAAACAAAGGAGGAAAAAAAAAAAAAAGACTCAGCTCCACCATCCTTGCATCCAAGGAGCACTCTGGCTGCACTGTCTGCAAGAAAAATCTGTGTGTTCTTTTGGCAGTTCACAGGATATTTACTAATCTTCTCCAACACT